GTCTAATGGCTATATCGGTGATGATGGTTCGGTAAACAGGTCGAATAACGAATATCCAGTGGGAAACATTAGTAACTCTGAGATCATGTCACCATCCTCTAGGCAATCATGGGACTGTACGAATAGGTTTGAGAGTCCTTTCTCTTCGTCTTCGTTAAGCCGAGTATCGTTTTCTCCAGAGTCATCTGTATATAGAGAGGCAAAGAAACGGCTTTCTGAAAGATGGGCAATGATGTCACTAAACGGAGACACTCAGCAACTAAAGAACTTCCCAAAGGCCTCAACTGCATTAGGAGAAATGCTTGCGCTTTCAGAGACGGAAGTACCAACAAGATCCAATGTAGTAGAGATCAACAAAGCGAAACAAGAATCGAGAAGATCGATTTCATGCATAGGCAGTGGTCTAAATCAAGTAGAAAGCGCAAGCGATTCTCTGAATACTCTTGAAAGGTCGAAATCAGTCCCTGAGATTAGACTCAATGGTGGAACTTCAAAACCACAAGCTCCCCGAGAGCTTATCGAGTCAAGAAACTTAAAAACATCATGGAAAGTTTCAAGCTTATTCTTCTTCAGGAATAAGAAAGCAAACAAGGAGAAGAAGACAGATACACCGTCTCAATTGGCTATGCCCACTGATGCATTACAACGACAAAGTATTTTCACAAACGAGGTAAAATCACAAATCTGAAACTTGTTGTATGATTTTTGAAACCCATTTTTGTTTTAATCAACCGTCCATTGGTTTGTTTGCAGGGGGAACTTCAAAACCAGGACCAGCCGAGTCCCGTATCAGTTTTACAACCGCCTTTCGAAGAGGAATATGCGGGAAATCCAGAATGTTCAGGTTCAACAAAGCCATGGACCACTCAAGGTTAGTTTAGCTCTCTCTGGTATTAATGTTAAACTCTCTGTAAGAGTTTTTTTATCATTTGTAACACTTTGCAACTGTCACATCTCACAGGAGAAGAAATGTCTCTGAGATCTAATCTTATCGACAAATCACCTCCAATCGGATCACTCGCTCGGGTTTTCTCATGGGAAGATGAGTCATATACAGACATAACTAAACCTGGAACTGGAATCAAAGAAGATGAAGATTGGTATGACTTCATCAAAACGCTCTTAACAGCGTCTGGTTTCAGCGGCAGTGACCCGCTTTTAACGCGATGGCAGTCACCGGATAGCCCCATGGATCCATCGTTAAGAGACAAATTTGCCAACAAGGAACTAATCAAACTCAGGAAACAGCGATCAACCCGCAAGCTTGTGTTCGACTGCGTCAATGCCATCATAACAGAGACAACAGCAACAGCTGCACACACCGGCCTGACCGAGGGGTTTGACATGGTGGAACATGTTTGGACAGAGTTTTTGGACTGGGTGGTTCAGGACTCGAACAGCTTGGATGTAGAAAGTGTGGTGATTGACGAGGTTGTCGGAAAAATGTGGAGTCATAATCTGCAAGTTGAAGTGAACAACTTGGGGATCGAAATTGAAGTGATACTATTGCAAGAGCTTGTTGAAGAGGCAGTCTTCGATCTTACTCTATAAAAACAGCG